TCCCCTCTTTGTTGGGCTTTGACGCCCCACCTCTGTGTCTCCATTGTACTCCACCATAATATCACTCCCACCATCTGCCACTGAATCTAAAGAAAAGGTTTCATTTTAACTTTTTTCTTCATTTATAAATAGGATGTTTGTCCATAACGAATCCTCCGTCTCTTCCAACATGCCCTTATCACCAACTACAGATCCTTCCAGAGAAACTTCCTCCAACTCTGAATCATCAAATCCGTCCTCTGGGTAGTCACAGTCCTCCTATCCACTATCTATTATATCCTCATCTTCAGATTTCCTTCTTGTATATCTTGGATTAGGGTGTTCGTTCATCACTTGCATCGCACTCCCCTGCAATCCCTCTTGTCTAGGAATCCATTGCAGATCTGATTTCCACCCACGGTTCATCTGAATCCTACCAGCACTGATGGCCTGAGATGATGATAGACCAAAGGACCGATCTACCATCGAAAAGTTTTTAAAAGTTTTAAGTTGGGAGCCAGTCGAAACTCAATGAAAGGTTGTAATTGCAAACTCGTCGGAATTAATCGACAAGTTGCTAGACTCCCCTTGAGTTCCACCTGGTTTGCCCTTGTTACCTAACCAACTTTTTCTGGCATGGTACCCAATTGTAAAATATTAGCAAAAGATTGTTCCTCGAATATTTTCCCCCTATCAAAAAAACTTTTGAATTTTCTTTCTTTTCCATGATAAATTTAGTAAAATTATTTGCATAACTTCCTTTATCTGTTACCCCCAAATCTAGGTCAACTGCGCACGACTATTTCCCTTCTACTTTTGTTTTTTCTTTTCTCCTCTCCTCTGTCCCCATTCTCTTGTTGCGACGTGAGAACCAGTTAGCCAACTCATCATCGTCTTCAAGCTCTCATCAACCATTCCATAGTGACACTTCGACTCCCATTGCAATCCACAACTTTCTCCACTTTCCTTCTACCAACAGGTCGTAGGAATGAGGAATCAGTTCTGGTTTCACATCACCCATCTTAATCTTCACAATGAACAGATCTGCAAAACTGTAATCTTCTAAGGTTCCTCCCAAAGCTACCATGATTTTCTCCAGTATAACTTCTTTCCAACATGGTTCCTAATTTCCCCAACATTTCCACAACATATTTCCATTTCCATGTGTATCAACACAAAATTTTACTGGAATTGACATTTTCCCAATGAACACTACCAGCACTATGTGGAGTACAAGAGGCAATTTTCACGACAAATTTCCATTTCCACTTCTATGGGTAGCAGCATGAAATTTTACTGGAATCAACATATTCCCTGGTGAACACTACTAGTACTATGTGAAGTCCAAGAGATAGTATTATAACATAAGTTGGTAACAATATTGTAAACATGTGAAGTAACAATGTTATTGTCCACTTAACTAACATGATTACCACCATTTACATTTCTATGAATTAAAATTTTGCTTAACTCGTTCTATCATGAAGCTCTGAACCTTAAGGTTTACAGGTTAATTTCAGAACATATTCTTTTATCTATAACCTTAGTTTCTTAGTTTTGTTTAATGATTTGGAACAAGATAATAATTTAAAAAGGTGTGCCTATTGTAGAGAACTGGGAAATTAGCTGCAGGGCTATTTTTGTACTTTTTCTTTTCCCTTGTTGTATAGCTATTCTTTGTTCTGTTTCTTTTGTACATTAAGGGCACATTTGTCCTTTTAACTTTTAATATAAATATAACTTCTAGGGTGTCGACTGACACAAGGTGTCACACCCACCATTCGGCTGTGTTCACTCTCTCTCTCTCTTTCTCTTTCTCTGATTTTCGGTCTGACTCTGACATGGTATCAGAGCCAAGTTACGATCTGATCTGCAAGTAACTTCTTTTTCACCCCTTCCTTATCTGTCATCTAGAGCACTCCCTAAAAGTATTTGGGAGGCTCTCGAGTGCCCTTGAATCCCATTTCTAAGGCTGCATTCAATCAGAACTTGGCAGACTCTGTTCCTGGACTGCTGCACCATCAGATTTCTCTTTTGTGCTGGATCTCTCTCTAGAAGCATAGGATCAGGCTGAAACTTTAGATCTAGTGTTGCCCAAAGCAGATCTACTGATTCTAATTGGTTTGATTTGAATCGGATTTGATTTAGAAGGGTTTTGAGCCACTTCAGAGTTTGACAGACCCATATAGTTTCCTTTTCTGGACGACAATTGAGAGGTACTTCTTTGTTCTACTGTTTTGAACATTTCTTCTTGTGGTTTTTCTTGCTCTTGTGATTCAATGGCATTAGAAAGGATGGAAATTCTCCCCATTAAGTTTAATGGTACGAACTATGCACTTTGAAAATTCAATTTCCAATTTCATGTGGAGGCGAAAGGTCTCTGAGGATATCTGGATGGATCAGTAGTTAAACCTAATGATTGGGACATCAAGGGTTAATCAGTGGAGAATTGATAATGCAAAAATTGCATCATGGATCTTAGGATCTGTTGAAACTGACATTGCAATTCCTATGAGAGGATACAGGACTGCCTATGAGATGTATGAGTATCTCGAGAAAGTATATCAGCAATCAAACACCTCAAGACAATACTAGATAGAGGTTGACATCTTCTCCTATTATCAAGGAGAAAGAAAGGTCCAAGAGTACTATTCTGGGTTTATTAACTTTTGGACCGAATATGAGCTTGTTCACATGGGAAATGATCCTTAAGAATGTTGCGTGAAGTATATGAAGGAACATTTTGATAGAAAAAAGACTATGCACTTCCTAATGCATCTCAGACCTGAATTCGAAGTTGTTTGATCTAATATCTTGAGTCGAGGAACACTTCCTGACTTGGATACTATTCTTGGGAAAATTTTGAGGGCCAAAACCATATTTGCCACAGACTACTCTGGATGGAAGAAAGGAGTCCAACATTGATACTGTCTTCCTGGCAACAAAACCGAAAGGGAAGAAGGGCTTCTTTAAAATACAGTGCTATGAATGTAAGGAGTTCGGGCATGTTATTTCTCACTGCAACAAAAAGTACAAAAATAGCCTTTGGCTAATTTCCCAGTTCTCTACACCTATGCTTCTTTTATCATTTCATAAAATATCATTCCATATTTTGCATATTTTACAATGTTTCTACCATTTCTATTAGTTTTACAATATTTCCATACGATATTTCCAACATTTCCGATATGTTTCTTATATTCGGATGGCCGACATATCCACCGACATCAACATTTTAAACCTTGCTTTCCAGAGGTTGAACAGCAGCCCCATCACCTTCACAACTGTTTGCATATCAGTTATCTCTATTTCATTAAATGACAAATTCCATCTCTCTAGAAGCTCTGTTCTCGCAGAATGAGAATAAAGTTGATGTATTTTTAACCTTAAGCTCTTTTATCACCGAGTCAAGAATTGATTCCCAATCGCTCACCTTCCCTTTTGCTGTCATTACATACCTGTTATCCCAGTTTCCTTTCTCCACTTCCATCAAAACTTTTAGTGTTGTTTGTGAGCTAGTGACTAACACAAGCTTCTTTTCTTTTCCAACTAATGGGGGCTGTGTTCTCGTCTCTTTTGTGGGACCCCTCACCTTCTGTTGAATCTTCTTTCAGTTCCTCTTCCACATGCCCTTTCTTGATATAAACCAGGTAGGCTTGTAAAATCTCTGTAGCCATCTTCCATCCGCAGCTCTCCTTCCCTTCAGGCAGGCAATCCAGTCCTTACTCCATTGCAATATGGCCTCGTACCTGAAGTTTGATGAAAATAATGAGCTCTTCCACCCTTGCCATGTGGACATGCATGGCAACTAGCAGTTAATTGTATTTTGAACTGCCCTCAAGGAGAAATCATGATCTTGAAAATGAACAATGATGATGTGCTTTCTGCCTATCTCTACTTTTCGTCCTTTTATGGGTCCATCCATCTTCGGCAGTTAATTGAAGTTGAGAAATAGGCTTGTGAAGGTGGTTCACCTCATAACCAGCAACCTACTGTGGTCTCTTGTGTTCAAACTGAGACCATGGTTCATGAGGTTAGCAATTCTCCAGAAGCGTGCTTCTCTTCACATCCTAGTGAGTTGTAGCATCATGCTGACAGGTTGTTGGATTTTGGCAACTTCATGGAGTCTTTTGCTGAAGAGAAGGTCAGGTTCGAGACTGGTTGAGAGCAAATGTTGTTCAGTTCGGAATCTGTGTTCTTTTTTAGTCCCAGCTCTGAGGACGAGGTAGACTCAGATGGTGCAGTTTCTTGCTGCTTTGTGGACAGTCTAGGTTACCTTCCTGGCTGTACAAGGACTAAAGGCATTCCTAAGATCTACGATGTGGCTGTGGTCAAGCCACCTGTTAGGGGCCTCATAGCACAAGAGGAAGGAGGAGAAGGTGAAGGAGAAGTAGTGGGAAGCTGTGTGGTTAGCACCTTCAGCTGCTTTTGGTCCCTGTCTGTGTTTCTGGCATTGTGCCTCTTGGGTGCATCTTCATTTGTTTTTCTGGTTAGGTTGTTCCAAGGTTTGTGTTTTTTAGGGGCTGGGATCTGGTGTCCTTTTAGGACTGGATCTAGGCTTTTTTTGGATCTTTGATCTTTAGCTTCAGCTCTTTTCCCTTTCTTGGTATACATCTTGTATGCTTTTTTGTGGTTTTATTAATACAATACCTTATCTTTCCTCAAAACATACACACACAAAGAACAATGACTGAACCAATAATTGATCATGATGCTGGTTCTATCTCTTCTTTTCTATTTTCTTTCTTCTTTACCCTAGCAGTAATGTGTATTCTTATCTTATTCTAGTGACTATAATGGCCTATGAATTTTGGTTATCTACTTGCAAGCTTGCAAATTAACAAGTATGGCATGTCTAGCAATCGCACCCTTTATTTTTGTCTAGTAAAGCTACTTGTTTTAGAGAAAAAACCTGAGTGCTGCCATGACACTTTTCAGAGAATTCAAATAGAGTTGCAAGAATACAGAAATTATCTGACACTGCTATAGGTTCTTAAAAATAACAAGACAATAAAGCATACCTAGAGAATGTGCTGAAAAACCTAGATTGAACTAGTCATAGCATTTTACTTATCAGGATGTCCCCGCTTGGCCCTACGACGAGTTTGATTTGTATTGCCATTCCGAATAACTTTTTTCTCCTTACTGCAAAGGGAAGAAAAATAAATATTGAAAATTAACCTCTGAGTATAAAAAGAAATTCAAAAGTAGAACCAGAATAAGAGGAGGAAAAAGCCTAGATAGACATTTTCCTGTAAAAATGAACAGAACAATTGCAATGATTATAATTGCAGGGCCGATAAATAGAAAAATAACTAACCAGAACATGCATGACCACAGTTTAAATAGCACTAATATTGGAAAAGCCAATACGGCAGAGGCCTACATGAATTACAGAAAGATATGTAAGAATAATATACATATCAAGCAAAGATGTAAATGGGAAACTAAATACTTCAATGCATGTGAAATATGCATTACATACCACAAACCAAACCAACTCTTTAGTTGCAAGAGGTCTTGTCAGCTCATGCTTTTTAAAAAATTCATGTGTAGAAGCTTGGACCTTAACAAAATCGAAGTAAACAATGTCAGAGGCTGCAATTTGAAATAAATAAATAAAGTTATAATCATATCCCTTAAGCCTTAACACAAATATTATACATATGTATACATTACAATAATATTATAATATATAATAGCATAAAATATTACATATATATAACATATATAATTGTTTGCTGAAGTACAGCAGAAGAAGAAGAAGAAGAAGAAGAGACGAGGAGAGAAGAGAAGAAGTTTGTGAATGGGCGGAAAAATGTGTTCTCAGTTGGCCCTAGAAGCTATTATATATATTAACGATAAGATATTACAGGAATAGACTAGAATGCCCCTGATTTGTGATGGAACACCTAGACATAATAAAATAAAACAAGTTTAGGCCCAATAACTAAAGGCCCATAACAGACTATAGAACTGGAACATAAAAGATAAATAAGCCCACCAACACTAAACCACTCGATCCAACACTCCCCCTCAAGCTAAGCATGGATATCAGTCATTTAGCTTGCCAAATAAGCCTAGGAACTTCACTAAAGACAGTCCTTTTGTCAAAACATCAGCAATCTGCATCTTAGGGGGTGTATAAGGAATGCAAAGTTGATGGCAGCTTTGTTCTGCAACACCATTCTCTCTCTTACAAAGTGTCAGTCAATCTCAATATGCTTAGTCCTATCATGTTGTACTGGGTTATTTGCAATGTTGATGGCAGCTTTGTTGTCACAATACAGCTTGAGAGGACCAACAACCTTCATCCCAAGCTCACAAAGGAGGGTCCTAAGGTACAATAGTTCTGCAACACCATGTGGCATAGCCCGATATTTAGCTTCTGCACTTGATCTTACAACCACATTTTGCTTTTTACTTCTCCAAGTAACCAAACTCCCTCCAACAAATGTGCAATATCCAGAAGTAGACTTCCTATCTCCAATTGGTCCAACCCAATCTGCATCAGTATATGCCTCAATTTCAATTTTATTGTGCTTTTTGAACAAAATTTCCTTCCCTGGACATGTCTTCAAATACCTAAGGATCCTTTCAACTACTTTCATATGAGGAATCTTGGGAGAGTGCATGAACTGGCTGACAACATGCACTACATAAGCTATATCAGGTCGGGTAAGAGATAGATATATCAATTTCCCACCAGATTTTGGTATCTTTCTTTATCAAGGTAGTCCTCTCCAACCGATTCCTGGAGACAACGATTCTGCTCTATTAGAGTATCTACTGGTCTACTCCCCATCATACTTGTCTCCTCTAGAAGATCAAGAACATATTTCCTTTGACATATATAAATGCCTTCTTGTGACCTTGCAACTTCAATTCCGAGGAAATATCTCAGATGGCCTAAATCTTTGATCTCAAATTTAGATGTCAAGAATTCCTTCAATCTTTTTATCTCTTTCGAGTCATTCCCTGTAATCACCATATCATCCACATAGACTATGAGTGCTATAAGACTGTTACCCTGTTTTCTTATGAACAATGTATGATCTACACCACTCTAAGTGTATCCCACTTTCTTCATGGCAACATAGAGCCTTTCAAACCAAGCTCGAGGAGATTGCTTAAGTGTATCCCATATAATGATTTCCTTAGCCTACATACCTTCCCATGAAAATCATAACTAGATGAAGGATTCAAGAATCCCTCCTCATGTAGATCATTGTTCAAGAAAGCGTTCTTCATGTCTAACTAATGTAGCTCCCATGAAAAATTTGCATCTAATGACAATAGAACCCAGACTGTATTAAGCTTTGCAATTGGAGCAAAAGTCTCCTTGTAGTCAATCCCTTCCTTCTGAGTAAACCCTTTTGCCACTAGTCTGGCCTTATTATATCTTTCAATGGAACCATCCTCCTTGTGCTTCATAGTAAACACCCACTTACATCCCACAGTGCTCTTCCCTTCTGGTAGATCCACAAAGTCCCAAGTCCTTGCCTTCATTAAGGGTTTCATTTCCTCATTCATTGCCTCTCTCCATCTTGGGTGAAACACTACCTCTGAGTACCTAGCAGGAACATGAATAGAAGAAAGAGCATACACAAAGGAATAATACGAGGAGATAAACATGAATAAGAAACATATTTAGCAATGGGATGTCGAGTAGTACAAGAACGAGTAGGCTTACGAAGAGCAATGGGAAGATCAAAATCAGAAATAGGAGTGATAGGATTACCTGGAACCATTAAGACAAATTGATCTGAGTCCGATTGGTTGTTGCCACAAGTTAGAGAATCTTTTTTTCTTCTTCTGTAGGCAATTGCATATGTTTTTGTTGTCTATTAATGTCATCAGTCACATCCTCAACACCAAGAATAGAAACAGGTTTAGTGGGAGTCTCACTAGATTCACCTGGGCAGCTAAAACTGGGAGGATTAGGAGGAGAAGATGGAAGACCCGAGCCTGAAAGAGGCACAAAGAAGGAAGGAGAGGAAGAATCCTCTTCCATCCTACTAGTCTCCCCCTGAAGAGGATTCCTAGAGGACTGAAAATAGGACTAAGACTCGAAAAACACCACATCCTTGGTGACATTTTTTCTTGGTAACTAGATCATAACAATTATAACATTTTTGTGTGGGAGAGTGCCCTAGGAAGACCCCCTTTATAGCCCTAGGATCCAACTTAGTCTTCTTAGGATCCTTGACATTAACAAAACACTCACAGCCAAAGACTCTAGAGGAAGAGGGAAATCTGGAAGGTTAGGACAAAGGACAGAGAAAGGAGTTCTCATACCCAACACCCTAGATGGCATTCTATTTATCAGATAAGATGTTGTAAGGACTACTTGAAACCAATAGTGCTTGGGAACCTTGTGCTGAAACAGTAAGGCTCGAGTTGTCTCCAATAAATGTCTACTTTTGCGCTCAGCAACCCCATTCTGTTGAGGGGTACTAGCACAAGATGATTGATGTAATATACCTGCATCCTCCATGAACAGATTCAAGGAGCTTCCAAAATACTCAACAACATTATCTAAACGAAACTGCTTAATCTTCTTGCCAAACTAGGTTTCAATCATTTTACAAAATGCCATGGTTATCCATGGTACTTCATCACACCCTTTTAACAAGTAGATCCATGTGCATTGTGAATAGTGATCAATAAAGCTGATAAAGTAACAAAAGCCATCTATAGAAACAAGAGGTGAAGGGCCCCATACATCAAGATGAACTAAATCAAAAGGAGCTTGAATTTCATTACTAAAAATTGGATAAAGAGTTCTACATTGTTTTGACAATTGACACACTTCACAAACCAAACTCTGACTCAAAACACACTTGAACAACTGAGGAAACAATCCTTGCATTAAAGTAAAAGGTAAATGACCTAGTCTAGCCTACCACAAATGTAACCTAGCTACTGACTCCTCATTATCTCGACCACTAAAAGCAAATGATTGTAAGGCTGAATTGATGTCTGCACCAAAATAATAGAGGCCTCTAGACTCATGACCACTCCTAATCGTTCTCTTCATCAATTTGTCCTGAAAGACACAATGAGTAGGAAAGAATGTTATGCTACAGTTTAAAATTTTGGTAAGCTTAGAAACAGATAAGAGGTTGGAAGCAAGATTGGGAACATGCAGAACTAATTTAAGAGAGAGATCCTTGCTTAGGTCAACCTCCCCTTTTCCAAAGATGGTGGAGAGGGAACCATCAACAACTTTCATCTTATCTTGACCAAACATCAAATGATAAGAAGAAAATAAAGAAGACATGTGTTTCATGTGGTCAGTAGCACTAGAATCAATAATCCAATAATTAGACATTATAGGACCAGTCACACTATGAGCAAAGACAATACCTGATTTGGCATGAGAGGTCGATACAAGGGAATTGTTCTTAGCCGAGCCAAGGATTTCTAACTCATCAGTTGTGAAATCAAAGTAGGACCTCATGTGTGGGAATTAGTGGTTTGTCCCATTGGAGGAGGTGCAACTATAAGTGCATTCTTTGGGCTTTCACCACTAGTACTTATGACAACATTTCCACTTGTTGTTTGACCCTTCCTTAGCTTCTTATCTTTCCTTAATGCAGCTGGTTTCAGGTGAGGATAAAGAATCCAACAAGTCTCTTTCAAATGTCTATCTCCTCCACAATGAGAGCACTTGAAATGCCTCTTGTCTAAATGCTTGCCTCCCTTTTGGGTTGAAGAAATCAAGGATGAATGCTCAACAGGTTGCACTTGGATGTCTAATTGCATCTCTTTCCTTCTAACCTCTTCATTCCTTACAAGATAGTAAACATAATGTACATCTGGAAGCTCATCCCTTCCAAAATTTGGGATCTTATGCTTTCATACATCGGGTCTAGGCCAGCCAAGAACTTAAAAGCTCTGCCTTCTTCAATTTGTTCATCATGCCTCTCCTTATCTCTTGTATTTTCCCAGTCAAGTACAAGGTGGTGGTCTAGTTCTTCCCATAGTCCTTCTAAAGTTACAAAGTAAGTTGCAATAGACATATCCCTTTGTCTCAATGCAACAATATCTTGGGTTAGTCTATAAATTCTTGCATTGTTCTTCCATTGTTCGTAGGTTTTAGACACCTACTCCCAAATCTTAGAGGTTGTAGGGAAGTGCTGAATAGTCCTTGCTACTCTTGGAGTCATTGAGGCAAGCAACCAAGACATAACATTACCATTCTTCTTGCGCCAGGTTGAGTAATCAACATCATCCTCTTTAGGTTCCTTCTTATGTCCATCTATATAACCCACAAGTTCCCGGGAAGTAATGAAAAGCTTGCCTGAAACAGACCATTCTCTGAAGTTGTATTCATCTAACAACACACTGGTGATCTGCAAGCTATGCAGATTTGGGTTTTCCATGTTTGAAGACCTCCCACCAGTCCTATTGTCCTTAGAAGACACTTCTCCTGATATTGAAGACATATTCTACCTCTGACACCAACCTACAGCTGTAATCTCAACAAGAGGGACAAGATTTCAGACTTACCGGAGCTGTTACTAGGCTGAGATTAACTTCCTATAGTTCCTAAGACCTCTGAACGCAAATCTCGGAAAAAAAAAAAAACTTCTGTAAATGGACTGAAAACACTCACTATAACCAGTTCTGGGCTGAGAGCAGCTTCTATGGCCAAAACCACCATTTCTGGAAGTCAAACCTGGGCTGTGACCACCCCTTGCGATCTGTTCTAACTCCCAGATAGCAACTAGGACTGTCCACTCAGTCCTTCCTAGATATGTTATACACAGATCTCTCTAGTAGCCAAATGGCTACTAACTGCTGCAGAACCACTAGTAGGGCATAAACGGCTGGGAAAACCACTCCTTGGTCCCTACACCCAAAGAGAAACCCTAGACAAAGACCTTTCTGTAGTCTTCGATCAGTCCTAGGGCTTCTTCACAGTAGCAGAGATAAGAGAAGATAAAGAATAGAAGACAGAATAAGGAAAAAGGTAAGAAACTAGATGTAATCAATGAAGCCGATTGGTCCTCTGATACCATGTTTGCTGAAGTACAGCAGTAGAAGAAGAAGAAGAAGCTTGTTAATGGGCGGCAAAATGTGTTCTCAGCCAGCCCTAGAAGCTATTATATATATTAACAATAAGATATTAAAGGAATAGACTAGAATGCCCCTGATTAGTGATGGGACACCTAGACAGAATAAAATAAAACAAGTTTAGGCCCATAACAGACTATAAAACTGGAACATAAAAGATAAATAAGCTCACCAACACTTAACCACTCGATCCAACGATAATTATAACTGCCATACTATAAAAACATATATGTAAACACATGTTGTCCAGGCTTAAATGATTACCCCTAGGTAGAAGGCCTAGACTCTAAGTCTTATTCACACTTATGAACCATGAACCATCCAACACTCTTTCACCCTAGAAACACACTACATAATATCCCTTCTGTCTCCAATCACATTGAGCAGACAAGTCTCCAGGTCTTGTTCTTGTCTTGGTTATACTTGTTTGCATCCCTGGATTTTATGTCTGCATAAAATCCATTACAATTTGGAAAATGGGTTTTGGTATTTAACATATTGTTATTTGAAAGAGAGGATGGGAGTCAATCAGAAAAGTGTTAAGCTTTGAAGGTTTTGGTCAACATTGATACTAGAGAGTTCTTTAGGAAATATATAGGAAACAGTATTTTTCATTGGAGCTGTGTTTGGTTGCAATGCAAATAAATCTGCACCGATGCAAAACTATACAAATGATTCGAGTGTAAATTCTGACATATTTTTGTTTCAAATTTTAGCTTATTTTGTTTGATTGCAGTACAAATGAAGTAAATTAAGACATGAAGCAGAATAAAATAAAACCCAAAACAAAATTAAATGAGAATTTGCATTTTTTTCATTTGCACTCCCATGAATTTGTACTAGTGCAAACAACCAAACACAGCCTGATGAATTTAAATAAAGAGTACAAATAAAACAAAGATGGAAATATCAAAGTTATATTTCATACTAGTAGTACTAGTAACCACAAAGATGGAAATATCATATAAGAAAATATTAAGAGACTATTGTTTTTTAGACAATGCTCCTACCATTGGGCTTATGGATTCAATTCTTTTGTATTTTCTTTGATATGCCTACAACTTTTGAAGGCATCCTTGATCAGCAAAGTAGCAGAAATTGATAGTCTTCTCCTCCAGAGTAAACAGTTTCATTAGGCATCTTTGTACCATTAATTTCTTTGAAATATTAAAAATTAAAGATGTTCAAAACATAATAGATCATTTACATTGACACTTTCAAGAACTAAGAATCAACCAACCATCTCCCAAAATATGCCCCATAAAGACAGTGACCATGAAAAAGAAACATGGATGTTAATAAATCAAAAGGAAGAAGAAATCATAAATAAGAGGCTACAAGTGAACCAGAAACTCAAGAAAGTTTACCTGGTCATGATACACTGTTGCAGATTTAAGAAATTTTCCATAAGCATGAAATGCTTTATTTGTATAAGGTTTCAGAGCAACCCGTGCTTTATCAACATGAGGTTTTGCTACAGTTGCAACCTGATTGACATAAGGCTTGGAAAACTTCTTCACTTCCTGTCAACAATCAAAACATTCAATTGGTATCATAATAAGGGTAAAAATAAAGAACTTTAGCATCATAAAATATACCTGAAAGTAAGGATCTGTGAATTCTTGCACTTTGACAATGTGTGGTTTCACAGCCTTTCTAGATGTCTCATAAACCTCAACAGTTTTTGAGCTTATCAACTGAATATGTGGTTCCATATAGGTTGCAAATGACACACATTGCTCTTGAAAATATGGGATCCATCTCTTTATACAGCACAATCAATAATTAGACCATCAAATTTAACCACAAAATATAACTACATGAATTAGCATTACACATAATCTCTTTTAAGAAAGCTGGACTATTGAGCAGCACATACCCACTATATTAAGCATACTTGTTCTTATTTCTATTTAGACTAACTCATTTTATAGCATCTCTTTCTACTATCATTCATGTATGCTCTACAAGTAACAAAAGTAATACATAAAAGGAGAATACAAGTACTACTTATCAAAAATTCAGAAGGGACCAATACCAGTACGCTTGGGTATAGAGGTTGACATCTTCTCCTATTATCAAGGAGAAAGAAAGGTCCAAAAGTACTATGCTGGGTTTATTAACCTTTGGACCGAATATGAGCTTGTTCACATGGGAAATGATCCTTCAGAATGTTGCTGAAGTATATGAAGGAACATTTTGATAGAAGAAAGACTACGCACTTCCTAATAAATCTCAGACCTGAATCCGAAGTTGTTAGATCTAATATCCTGAGTCGAGGAACACTTCCTGACTTGGATACTATTCTTGGGGAAATTCTGAGGGTCGAAACCAGATTTGCCACACAGACTACTCTGGATGGAAGAAAGGAATCCAACATTGATACTGTCTTCCTGGCAACAAAACCAAAAGGGAAGGACTTCTCTAAAATATAGTGCTATGAATGTAAGGAGTTCGGGCATGTTGTTTCTCACTGCAAGAAAAAGTACAAAAATAGCCATGCGGCAATTTCCCAGTTCTCTACACTTGTTTCTCCTATAAAAGACCAATCCACCATATCATAGGTTTTCTCTAACTCCAATTTTCATACCCATCCTGTTTAATCTAACATTTTCAATTCAAGGCATTCATTGGAAATTAGATATTTGTCTACTATTTGTCTTCCCTAAACAAAGGCTCTATGCTGCTTTGAAATTAGAGCAGGTAGCATTTCCTTGAGTCTTAAAAATAGCACCTTCACAATTATTTTGTACAAGCTACCTATTAAACTAGTAAGCTTAAAGCCACTAAAGTGATTATCCTCAAAATTTTTTGGGATTAAGAAAATGGAAGGTAGCATTAGCCCCTAGGTTTATTATTCCTCTCATGAGGATCTCAAAATATCTCCATCAAATCTTATTTCAAGATACCGATATTATTGAAAAAAAGCCATAGAAATCCATCTAGTCCTGAGGCTTTAGATTGCTCCATTAAAAACACTACTTCCCCATTTCCTCCTCAAAGGATCTCATAGCTTTCAAGGTACAAAGGCGAGGCTAGCGACAAGAGGTGCCTTTACCCCTAAGCAAGTTCCTATTTTTTATAAATAAAAATCATGAATCCTAGGCAATTCCCTATGTTCCTCTTAAAGAACCATTCAACCTAAAAGCTTAAGCTGTTAGTTAAGGTCCTTGAATAGGTTGATATTTTCTAACACGCCCCCTCACAAAAAAGTCCATTGGGCTTGAAGCGTGAACAAGCACAGGCCCACTCATACCTTGTGTTGAAACTTATTTAATTATAATGGGGGTAACGAGGATCGAACACTAGACCACTTGGTCAAAATGGCTCTGATACCATCTTAAAGAACCATTCAACCTAAAAGCTTCAGCTGTTAGGTAAGGTCCTTGAGTAGGTTGATATTCTCTAACAGTTCCATAGTAAAAAGCAACCATATTTTACTAGTAACCATCTATAAATCTTGTTTAAAAGTATAAGCTTCATATTAAAACATAGAAAATCAACATATTCATGAGAAGAAAGAAAAGAAAATTCACTAGTAATGTAGGGGCCAAGCCTGTTTTTGTCCTAAGAAAAGGAAATATAAAGAAAGGTTGGAAGGACAAAATTCCAAGTTCTTCCTTTTTTATCGGTTCAGGTTTTGAAGTCTTCAAGGGTTTCAAGACAGCATACACCAACATGTGTGTTGATCGAAACCTAACAATTAAGAAAATAATAATAAACTAATACATAAACCCCAAAAATGAATAATTTAGTTTAATAATGTCTATTTTATTGTAATCACAAAAAATAATAAAAATATTTCATAGCACCATGTACAGAACAGCTAAGTGCTTAAACAAGGTAACCTTCCAAGGGTGTGCCTTGTAACATAGGTATTGCCTAGGCAACTATGACCTCTCCAACTCAACAGCTGGCACCCATCCAAGGTTGGCTACTAATCCTTTGATAAGTAGTTGCTTTGCTTCAGGATGGGTTTCCCATCAATTTCTAGTTTGGGGACAAAATTCTTCCATTTCCTACTGTCAGCTAGGGAGTGAAATTATTTATATTTAATGTTTCTATCACCTTCCTTGATTCATCTGCTTATCAATTTTTGTCTCTATCGATTTCTTCCTTCAATGTTTTAAATCAGTAAATGCAAATTATTCATCAATTTCAACCTTTGTTCTCTCTTCTCAAAAGACAAAGGCCCCTGAGTCTTCTTGAAATCAAGGTTGTCTAACTGAGTTAGGATTTGTTCTTTGCAAAAGCCAAAACCCTTCATCAAGCCCCATTTGCATCCTCCTCCCCACCAAGATTTTACCATCCTAATAAAGTTGTGTAAGTGAGCTGCATGTTCTCAAATATGAAGGAAGTTAGGTCACCAACAAAACAATCTAGAGATTTCCATGACTGGGAAGTGGAGGATGTTGTAAATCTGCTGAGCTGCCTTGATGCATTTTCCTTTCAGCCTCTTTCAGCTGACAAGTGGATCTGGATTTGGACAGATGATGGAAAGTTCACAGTCAGATCTTTTGCTGAGAGTATGACTGTTAGAAGGGCAACTGGCTTCCCATATAAACAAATCTGGAACCCTCAACCTCCGTCCAAAATCAAATTCTTGCTGTGCGCTTCTGCACTAGGGAAATTAACAAAAAGCAATCTGGCAAAAAGAGGTCTTAGTTTAGATGATCTTAGCTGTGCAATCCGTTGTCTTGAAGAGGAATCCATTGACCACCTCTGTATGCATTGCAAAATTGCTCGGAGAATTGTCTCCCTTCCTTAATACTGTTGGTATTAGTTGGGTAATGCCGGGTACAGTGAAGAATCTGCTTAAATGCTGGTACCTGCTGGGCTTATCAAAGAAAGGATAGTACATTTGGAGTGCCATTCCAGATGCAGTTAATCAGCACTATATGGTCTGAGAGAAATGACAGAATATTTAGAAAAGAGAAGAAAGAGCCAGAGGTGCTGATCCAGTGCATTGTAGCTAGACTTGCCTCTTGGCTTTCTACCATGTGTTTTGTAATCAGAACTTGTTTGTGATGCTTAATTCTGTCAATCTGTGGGATCTATGATCAGATCCTTAGGGGGTGAATGATTCTTGGTCTTCCCCCCTTTCTTGTATGATTATCTTCATCATGAATAAAATTTACATTACCTTTTCTCAAAAAAAAAAAAAAAAACAATCTAGAGATAAAAGAATAGGGCAATGAGGAAAATAAAGCCTGTGATCACAGGCTTTATACATAGGTCTTAATAAAGCCTGTGATCATACCTAAAAACAATATTAGACAATGAGGAAAATAAAGTAAAATAGTTCAAACTAAGCTGGAATAGGAGAGAAGAAACTATGGCTGAAGAGCAGAGAGATCAAATTCAATTTATCTCAACTGTCACACCCATTTACTAAGATTATAATAAAAAGTAAATTTTCAATATTAGCCCTTCTTAGGTAACAAAAGAATAAAAAGAGAATACATCTAATAACAGCCACCACTTATGTAAATAATAAAGAATAAAAAACTTCTAATCCCTCTCAAGTTGGAGCATAAATGTCATAAAGCTCCAACTTGTTACAAATGTGATCCATCCGTGCACAACCTAAGTCTTTGGTGAAGAAATCAGCTAATTGATCTTCTGACTTCACATATACTATAACAATTTCTCCACTTGTGACCTTCTCCCTTACAAAGTGGCAATCCACTGGTTCTTTCATGAAACGAGGGATTAGAGGAAATGTGGATTGCTGCTTGGTTGTCACAAAACAGTCTAATAGGAGTGACCCTATATTCAACTTTAGCGAAACCAACTCACATGTTGTATTTGCCATGGCCCTATATATTCAACTTCAGCACTACTTGCAACTACACACTACTTTTTGCTTTTCCAAGTAATTAAGTTTCCTCCAAGAAAGGTGTAACATCCAATTGTGGACTTTCTGCTAGTCACCAATCCTGCCCAGTCTACATCTGTATACCCTTCCAAAGATAGTTTTCCCCCTTTCCCTTAGACAGCTCTTGATCTAGAGCACACTTCAAGTATAGAAAAACCCTAATAATACCATTTCCAATGATTTGTGCTTGGATTCTACATAAACTAGATCAATGCTCCCACACTAAAAGAAATATATGGCCTCATGATGGTGAGATAGACGAGTTTTCCCACCAGTCTTCTATATCTCCTAGGATCATCCAGGAACTCCCCCTCACTATCAGAAATCTTGATATTTGAATCAATAATGTCCATTGGTTTTGCTCCTAGTTGATGAGGCCAAAAGAAAGAAAAAAAAGAAAAAAAAGGAAGAAAAGTGAATGTATTCCATTTTGCATGTTTTTGTAGTAGGACCCCAAATTGTTGTTTTTAGGTAGTTTTGTTGACAGTTTGGGACCAGGGGGATTTTCGTTATTTTATAATTCAAATTCTGGTCAGGGGCAGTTGGGTGCATAGCTGTTGGGTTTGGGTCTCTTGGGTTTTTCTGTTACAAAAGTTATCTTTTGGGGGTTTGTTTTGTTCTTAAGGAGTTGTTTATGAAAGGGAAACAATCCAGGGGCTCATTTGTAAATAATTTTAATTGGCTTCTCCAACAAGCCATTGGGTCATATAAAAGAGAAGGGGGCTGTTTCTGTAGGGGTCTTTTTGTTTTTTTCTCTCTTGTTTGATCTGTAGCTCAGCCCCAGTTAGGGTTTTCAAGTATTGGGAACTTGGGTTTTGAGGAGTCGACCCTTTTTGACACCTTCCAATCCCTTTATCGCTACATGTCCGCATGGGAGGCCAGCAT